TAATCTTACTTCAAAATGTATTTGGTGTCGGGATCTGCAGATGAAGTTTAGTTGTAGGGATCTGCAGATGAAACCTAATTGTAGGGATCTGCAGATGAAGCCTTTTCCCCCTCTTGACCAGCAAGGAGAAAGAAAAAGGCGAGGCACTCGAGTGTGTTTTCAGGACGGGGATCCGGATGAACTAAACAGCAGTGGGAATTCCTCCCTATCCATCACCGCGCCCCCCTTTTATTGTTCTCTACTACCTTTGCACTAGTTAACCAGTGACCATTCTAAACACAGGCAGGTAATATCTTGAATACACAAGTATGGTAAACAGAGGGGCCAGTAAACAGAGGCACGTAAATCCTAACTACATAAGCAGGGTAAACATTCCTGAATACAGAGCAGGGTAAACATAGACAGATAACACCTTAATACACAAGTAAATTAATACAATTTACCCAGAGACAGGTAATTATCCTAGATACCAAAGCAGGTTAATGCTTCCTTACTGGAAGCAACCACACTGTATACGTGACCTCCGCGCCCAAGCACAATGTCTGCTATATACACTGTAAAAGCATACATTTTCCCCACAAGTTGGGGCAATCTCCTGCTAAGTTTACTAGATGGGCCCTAGAGGTTTGCCCCAAAGTCTTGCCCTTATGATACAACTGATGGGAAGTATCAGTTGCTTTGAGGGAAATTATCCTGGAACATTTCTTAAGCAGTGGAATGTGCGTAGATTGATTAGAATAAAATTTCCAGCAGACAGATTAGGATAACAGTGATAAATCATCTCAACATTTACATTTTCATCTAAAAAGGAGACATCACATATTTTGAATATTATGGCAACATCAACAGTGGGCTTCATCAACCTTTTTCTCAGTATTCATGTCCATATGAATCATCCCATGAGGCTAATGTTAGACTAACAGTGCAAAATGCTATACCAGATCCAAGGCAGAGTCTCTATGATGGGAGTTTAAATAAAAATCAAAACAGTAGGTAATCAAATCATGGAACTGCCACTTCTTGTTTCTTTTGACCCTAAGATGTCCTTGTCTGACTTCACTGAGCACAAGCTGTGAGACTGCAAGATCTGACTAAATAATAACATGTTTGCAATTTTAAAAAGAAGGGGAAGTACTCCTCTTCATGTATGTTTATATGGAGAAAAGAACTAAGGTACCATGTTGAGCAGAGGCACTTCAAAATTTTCTTATGAACATAACCTTCATTATCAGAATGCATAGCTTTGATTAAGGCCATCCTTTTTGACATGCTGAAGCAATTATATCTTACAGCTTGAAGAAACACCTTCACAAGGGTTCACAGTATTTATTCCATAGTAATTTTTGTGTGTATTTTCTTCAAAGAAGTCAGGATTGCATATGCGGAGAGCTATTATATGTTGTGAGCTGATTTATTCTCAAAACAATGACAGGTGAATAGAAATAGGCTAAAAGAGAATGATTTGGCCACTGGGAAATGTGTTTTGTATCCGATAATCAAACATGAATCCAAGTCTTCCTTTCCAAACACTTATTAATAATGTTTCTTCCAAAAGAAAAGCAAAAACAAACAGCTCCAATTAAGCCACTTGCTGACGAACAAGCCTTTCTGGGGAGGTGTTCTGCTCTTAGATGAAAGATAATTTTCTCTCTGCCAGTACATTTCATGTAGAGGTTGCTCTGAATCAGAATTATGTTCCTCTCTGGCAGGATGACGGAAAGATGTGTTCTGCCACTGTCAAGCTGGAATCCATACCATTTAGGGATTTATATCTTTAAACTAGCTCACTGAATGGGTTGTACTCTCCTATCCAACCTGCTTAATAGATTATTTGTGTGCTATTCTCTCTGCTGTTTCTTGGCTTTGCTAGAAGCAGGAATTTCATCAGAATGTTTTGTTGCTTGCTCTCAGTGTCTCTGTGTTGCATTTCAAGGAATGAATAACATTAGCTTTTCATCAAGTTTCTTTAAAATGTTTGCTGCGTTCTCTCTAGTAGCTTTCATGTGAATTACCAAAACTGTAGAGGGTAGTATAAAGAATGATACAAATTTAGGCTTAAACTGTCACGTTCTCTCATGTGAATTCTGTTTGGGGAGAAAATGGCAATTTGCTTTATAAATAAATGAGGTGTCAACACCAGCTTCCCTTACCAGGTTAATAATACTGTATCTTCGTGATAAGGGGTTTTTAAAACATGAATCAACAAGGTGAAAAAGATGAATGCTCTCTCCCAAAGTCTGCCGTTTCAATCTTGGTCAGCCTGCCTATGACTGTTAGGTTTAATAATCCCAAAACAGCAATGAAAAAATTAAATTGCATGAATTATGTTCTTTCTGGTTCATCCCTGAAACATATGTCATGTTCAAGATAGTCTAATTTCGAAAGAATGTGATAGGATCTTTTTTTAAAAAAGCAAATGTTATGTCTTAGAGTAAAATGTTCTTCTGTAGATATTGAACACACATGATATAAAGGAATATTTGAGATACAGGTAGCGCTTGAATGCTGAATGATAAACACAAATCAAATTTCAAAACAGATAAATTACACCAGGGCCCGGTTTCTGTTGGTCAATTATAGATTATAGAATCATTCAAAAACAAACAAACAAAAAACAACCCAGAATGAATTTAAAGCAGCTGCCCCATGTTTGGTTTACCTTACAAATTACCTAGGAGGCTACAAGCCTCTTCATGTAAGACCTAAAATAATTTGGTGAAGTAGCAGCTAGTACAGTTTCTAGCTGCTTGGACATTGGGCTGTGCTAGTTTTGTGGGGCAATCATGGGTATCTTAAGCGTATACTTGTCCCACTCATGTTCACATAAGATGTGGGATGGGAAGAGTTTCTACTCATTACATAAAATGGAGCATGTCTGGAAGATGGACAGCCACCTACACCCAACTCTGCATTCTGTGGATTTAGACCATATCCCACTTGTCTGCTCAGTGCTTAAACTCTTTGGGTGAAAGTGAGGTAAACTGTGAGAGGAAAATAGGTATGGCTTCCCTACCCATGTGCTCCTTTTTGTATAACAAGTTGAGCACTCAACCCTTGCTTTACATATCTGGTTACACATATCTTTGCCCATCCTCCATAACCCTTCATTTAACTTCATTTCTGGCACACCTTCTCACCAGCTATAATACCCTGTAACCTCCATCAATCAGATATTCATTCTAAAAATCTAGCATTATGGTGACATTTTCCCTCACAAATACTTTGAAATATTTTAGAAAAAAGCCTCATAACTCTCAAGAGGATTCACTTTTCTGTCCCTGCTTCTGATAAACTGTGGAGGAAAAAACGGTTTAATACCATTTCTAAAAACATGCCTTCACACTTAGCTATCTTGCCATTGTCATTCATGTCACTATAACAGTAATTGAAATCTGTTATGATGGATGCTCTAGGCTTTGCCAGGCTTCCTTATCAGAGTAAACAATTTCCTAGTCACCATTCCCAGTCTATTCTAGGAGTTTGAACAGCTTCTTGTTACTTGTTTTTTAGTCCATTCTACTTTTACAATACCTTTCAACTCAATTCAAATGTCACCCACAGTGGGAACTCACTTAGAGATTAGTGTCCTTCCTTTCTGCTTTTTCCACATAGTTCCTCCACAGTACAGTACCAGAGGGTGGGCAACATTATTGGCCGAAGGGGTTGCAAGCAGCCTCTTCTTTTCTATGGCCAGTGTTGACAAAACATCAACAATTGTGCTGGAAAACATGGTTTATATATTGGTAAGATTACACTTACAGTAAGTTAGGACTGGGGCTTAAGGTACATACGTACATGGCATAAGGGGATGGAAGGGTCGCCTTCTGTATATCATACCATCTGTATATGATGATGGTTTATGTCTTCCCTACAGCCAACAACTAGAAAAACCTAGTTGCCAACAGTCACTATACATTATCACCATCTAGAACAGACATGTGAGCAAAATATAACATCATTAAAAGGAGGAGAAAGTCCAAGCTGTTTGCCATGAAGGAGCAATGACTTCCCCGAAACCAAAACCTGGAATCAGGACCCTATAGCCAAACAGGATGTCCAACTCTCATGTCTGGTGGCTGACAAGTAAACAATAGCAAGAAGTGAAAAAGCCACCCTTGAGTCTTGTTGGGCGCTCCTTTCTTTCATGATATAAAGAAAGTTAAACTCATTGAAGAAAATTCATTGAAAGCTAATACTGCAACTTTCGAAAGTACAGTATATCATGCATATATTACAATATTAACAGCAATTATCATAGCTTTTCATTTATCTTTGTCTAATGTAAAACAACCCCGATAGAGAACTTATTTCCTGCACTGATTTAAAAACCATTCATCTTCATTTTTTATTTGCTAAACTATGAAATTCCACAAGATTAATTTGTCCTCACTGTCATTAATTCTATTACCCTCATCTCTAACTTGTGCCAAATAGTGGAACATAATCTGCACAAATAATATTTGCAGGTGAAAGTTTGTTTTAGCCTTTTTCAAAACAGAATCAGCATCTTATCTACCAAAATTACTTGCAATTACTTAAATAGTAGAATTTGCTGCAATTGACCCAATATTGTTTTGTAGATATTTTCGGTTTTCTAGCTATTAGGTTTTTCTTCTCAACATTTACAAAGTTTAGTAGACCTTCCACCAGCTCTGAAAGCAGCCAATGAAATTCTGAATATTTAGGTGTTCCAGCTATTAAGAACAACCTTCAGCAGCCTATTCTAGGCCATTCTTTTGTTTCTTTAACACAGAAGAAAGCCACTGGTACAGTTAGTAGGAGACAGTATCTCTGTAATACAGCTAGGAAGTGAAAGGGAATGTTCAACATCAGCATAAAACCACCAATAATACTTTCTGGATAGTCCCCATGTAACAAGCAAAACACAAGGGTGGATCAACAGATTGTAGTTCTCAGATGTTTCCATTGCTACCTCTGTTAACCATTACATCAGTAACAATCAGTAGGCTGACATGATAGTAAAAAGATCTTAGACTCACATGGCACAGTTCGGAGGTAGAGATTATCACGGATTATCTGTTGGAGTTCATGATCCACTGAACCTTTCTGGAACCTTAAATTGAGGTAGTGACGAAGATCCTTATCCACAATGCCTCCTGGTAAAGTCAACAATGCACAAATTGGTTAAAATACAGAAAGTGGGACACTTCCATTTATTTTCAAAAAAATCATTGGCTTCATTTCTAATCAGGAGAGAGTCTTGGGTGCACTATATTGAAAACTAGAGACCTATCAATTGAGATGTATCATCTATGAAATACCATGAGATATGTTATCTGATAACAAGCCAAGGTTCCCCAGGCTGATTCATGGGGCTCTGTGTTTGAAGCACAGTGGGAGGACAGTGGCAGCTGCCACTATCTTCCTTTTTTGCAGCAAGAGGCCTCTCAGAAGGCTCTGTGGTATGTTACATACATGCTGGACTTGATCAGGAAATCTAGCAGACTGGGGATGCAGAGCAAAATAGAAAGCTCCCCAGTTCCCTGTAGCCAGACTGCTTAACTTTGGCCACCCATCCATCCTTTCACTGGTTCTGGGAAATGGGCAGGCGATATGAAAGACCACAGGGGTGTGTTGTTTCGATACTTGTGATGACTAACTGTACTCATTCCTTCTTTTCATTTTGTCACCATTTTGTTGGTCATTATTTGGGGTGGGATTTCCACACAGAAACAGATCAAGGTTGGTGGGGTAGGAGAACTTGCACTCCTAACACAACGTAAGGAGTCTCATCAGGATTCTTGAACTGGAGCCTGGCAACAGATGGGTGTGGCACTAGAAGGATACCTCCTAATTTTAATGAAAGTGGCAGAAGGTATTCTGGTCTTGCACCCAGAGGGGACCTGCCTTCAGCTGCCATTTCAGCACTTCCTAGCAGGTAGACTTGGAAGTGGTCATAAAGAGCTGGGATGAAGGTATCCCTTCCTCATGCTAGTTTTGCTGGAACTAGTAAAGGCATGGCCTTTCTCTGTACAACTTTTTTTTTTGCTACAAGCAATACCTCTAAACACGTACAATTGTTTTTTTTCCCTTCCATTTTATTATTTGTTTCCTTTACAAAGCATGAGGGAGAAAATATTTCTACACTCATCTCACCAATATCTCAACCACTTCCATTTCCAAATCATGGTGAAAGACACATATTTAAATTAGTTTTGTAAAAGTTACAGTCATTTGGGGAAAATGGGTATCACATATGAGACCATTGATAGTAATCTCCACAAAGATCCAAATCAATTTATTCAGACCATTTTTGTGACTACCACAATGTCTTTTCTTAACCTCCAAATTTCTGATTGTTTCTCTGATTGATGGTTAATTACATGTTTTCAGAGGAATTACCTCTGAAGAGGCGTGCTCTGGTCCATGGAGTCACGAAGAGTCAGACACAACTAAACAACAACAACAACCTTTGAAGAGAGACTGCAAGGAAAGAAGAATTCTCCTAATGATTGCAATTCACTTTGTTTTTCTGATTGGCTGGGGGAAAAAAGTCCTGCATCTCCTCTCCCCCCACCCCAGACGGAGTATGCAGTGATGTCCATGCTTACTGACACTGAAAAATGCCAGCTGTATGTAGTGCAGAATGACAAACCTGAATTATTTGCCATCTGGAAAGTGGATGAGTAAGAATGTCACATGTAACTATGGCACAAAGTTTTAAATCGTGGCTTCTCTTTTCTTTACTATAAGGAAGCAAAACCTAAATAAATGGTCCAGTCAGTTTCATTTGTGTTTGAACTCTAACTGAATGTCTGAAATCTTGTTGCTTAGTGTAGTACATTACAGATAGAGTAGACCTATTGAATTGGTAGGGGCTTGGTGAGTCAGCTCCTCCATAAATTCCATTAATTCATTAGGCACACTCTAGATTACAGATGGACACAAATGATTGGTTTGGTGTGATTCATTTACTAGCCCAACAGCGGATCAGGTGCCCTCGTGGAAACAGTGTACTGGCTCCTATGGGTGCTGCCTTTGATTAGGCACCTGCCAGTTCCAAGTCCTCTATACAAAGAACGTTACCATAGTCTCTCGAGACCGAAATATGCCTATCATGAGAGCAGGAGGGGCACCAAATTGCAGATCAGCTGTTGGGCCGGTAAATGGACCATACCGAACCACTGAACCAGTGGTTCATGTCCATCTCTACTCTATGCAACTTGCTACACTAAGCACAAGATTTTAGCCATTGTCTGCTCTTTTATACTCTTAAAGCGTTAGGAACAGTCAAAAGTCCAAGACCTTAAAACTACTCACAAATAAAAAAAAAAGAATTCTAAATAGTTCTTTTCCCAATGACTAAATCATTACTACATTACATTATCATAACAGTGGATAATTTTACTCCTTTTGCAGATAAACTATAATTTTTAAGACTAAAATGACAGTAACAGAATTTGGCCTTATTAAATAGTAGAGGATGAATATCACATGGTTCCAGTGCTGCCTTGTCTTATACCTCATTTTCTGTTGCGGCTGTTGAGGCAATGACGAAGTGAGTATGAGGAAAGCAGGTGTTGTACACTACCATTCACATTTGTTGAAACACAGCCCCAAGAATTGCTTTGTGTTTGCGTAAGAAGTGGTTAACTGATGAAAAATGGAGTCCGCTTCTGGGATTTTCCCGTTTGGTGTCTCTTTGGGAGTGGTACTAAGCACAAAAGGACATCCTGTAGACCAGTGGTTCTTAACCTTTGTTACTCGGATGTTTTTGAACTGCAACTCCTAGAAACCCCAGCCAGCACAGTTGGTGGTGAAGGCTTCTGGGAGTTGCAGTCCAAAACTCCTGAGTAACCCAAGGTTAAGAACCAGTGCTGTAGACCATCTTGACTATTGCCATTGGTGTTGTCAACATTAAGGCTGCCCTTTGCTATTCAAACTTTCACATCCTTTTACCTTCAGGCAACGTGGGCATGAGATTGTGCAGCAGTATTGGGCATTCCCTAATTTTTTTAATAGGTGGGGGACGTGGTGGTGCTGCAAGTTAAGCTGCAGAAGCCTCTGTGCTGTAAGGTCTGTACATCTTCAGCTGTAAGATCAAATCAATGTGATGGAATGAGCGCGCGTCGCTTGTCCTAGCTCCCGCCAACCTAGTGGTTCGAAATAATGCAAATGCGAGTAGATAAATAGGGACCACCTCAGTGGGAAGGTAACAGCATTCCGTGTCTAAGTTGCACTGGCCATGTGACCACTGAAGATTGTCCTCGGACAAAACGCTGGATCTAAGGCTTGGAAACGGGGATAAGCACCACCCCCTAGAGTTGAACACGACTGGACAAAAATTGTCAAGGGGAACCTTTACCTTTACCTTACAGAAGAACACTATCCCACATTCATAAACCTGAGGTTTTTTTAAACAATTGAATATGTAACTAGTGCTATAATCATAATTGGGGATGTAAGGACACATATAAGTCCTGCTTTTGCGTGCCCTCTCCTGGACACTGGTCAAAATGCCACACATTAAACATGAAGGTCTAAAGAGAAGACTGTTAAGTGTATCTGGCTAAAGACACACACACACAGTTTCCAGTTCAAGAATCCTGACATTGGCACTGTGAGGATGCTGCCTACCCATGCTTTTTCATGCATCCAGGTAAACAATGGAATTGGGCTTATGATTTGCCTTACATTTGCATGAATAGTGGGCTAATAGCATCTCGTTAGCATCTAATTGCTAAAATCAAATGAGACATGAGAAAGATGTTAAATTATAAGATTGGGGAGAAATAATTAAGACTATAGTTGCAGATCTTTGTGCCATTGTCTCATTTTATGTACAGAGTATAATGTGATCTTTAACCAATATAATTTAAATAACAAAGTAAATATGTAGGGAGCTCCAGGATAAGAAAAGTAGAGAAAGGCAGTGTGAAAGGCATGGAGCAGAAGATAGGGGAAAGGAAGATTTCATATATGGATTTATTAAAACAGGTTCACCCTACAGAGGTTTTTGTTTTTGCTATGTCCCTCTTACGACAACTCTAATAGAGTCTCCAAAGTAATGTGAGATATATAAGTAGTAATTTTACAAGAGGTAGCCATCTAAGTCTGTGCCAGCATATCAATCAAAACAAAATAAAAATATTTTTTTTAAAAAAATAAGTTGTGGTATCTTAAAGACGAACTGCTATATGTGAGCTTTTGTGGACATGTCTGAGGAGGTGAACTTTTAGGCCTCCCCTAGGCAACGGGTTAGCCACTATGTGAATACAATGCTGAACTAAATAGATCTTTGATCTGTTCTAGCGTTTCCAGCCATGTCTTTATAAGCTGCTTTATCTCTAGAGCTGTTCACAATAAGCAGTTTGTTCAGAAACACACCTAAAGGTATATTAAAATTCTATAATTCATTAAAAGAACCAAGATTACAGAATATTGTTTAATATATTCCATTACAGCTTTTCCCACTCTTTTGGTGACGATGAGGGCTACTCCATTCCTTCTACGGGCTTCTTGCCTACAATAGTAGATATGGTAATCATCTGAATTGAATTCACCCATTCCTGTCAATTTTAGTTCACTGACGCCCAGGATGTCAATGTTTATTCTTGCCATCTCCTGTTTGACCACATCCAGCTTACCAAGGTTCATAGATCTTACATTCCAGGTTCCTATGCAGCATTTTTCTTTGCAGCATTAGACTTTCCTTTCACTTCCAGGCACGTCCACAGCTGAGCGTCCTTTCGGCTTTGGCCCAACCACTTCATTAGCTCTGGAGCTACCTGTACTTGTCCTTCGCTCTTGCTCAGTAGAATGTTGGATGCCTTCCGACCTGAGGGTCCCAACTTCCAGCATCATATCTTTTAGCCTTTTGTTTCTGAGCATGGGGCTTTCTCGGCAAAGATACTGGAGTGGCTTGCCACTGCCTGCTCCAGGTGGATTGCGTTTAGTTGGAACTCTCCACTATGACCTGTCTGTCTTGGGTGGCCCTGCACGGCATAGCCCATAGCTTCACTGAGTTACTCAAGCCCCTTCGCCACGACAAGGCAGCAATCCATGAAGGGGATGGAGGATTACTGCTCAGTTTTATTTCTTAGTTCAGGGCTGGTTATAAAACAAGCATTCCTCTTGCTATCATTATTGCTCACAA